GGGACCCTAAACCCACGTGGGAGACCTAGAGGAGCTCCTGGATCCTGGCTTCAAGTTGGCTCAGCTCCGGCCATTGCGGCCACTTGGGGAGTGAGTCATTGGACAGGGGATCTTCCTCTCTGTCTCTCCTCCTCTCTGTACATCTGCCTTTCCAATAAAAATAAATAAATCTTAAAAAAAAAGTAAAAAGGGGAGCAGGTTGTCCAATATTCATGGCATAGTTGCTTGTCCTGACAAGTCAAGACCACTCTCAGTATACTCCAGAAAATTCCAGTTGCATGGGGCTCCCCAAGTGACTGACACCCCCCACACCCGCAACCCCCAGAACGGTAGCCTGTGTTGTGGGTTTTAACGTTTGTATCCTCCCTGGCTCCCCTCTGACCTGCTACAGAACCTGTGTGGGTAGGCCTACGTGTAAGGAGCGACTCCAACAGAAGCTCCCAAAACTGAGCCCTGCTCCCACTATCCTGGACTCAGTGTCACCTTGAATGCTTGCTCACTGTAAGTCCCCTTGATCTCAGCCCCAAGCCCTCTTGCTTAACTAAGTTTAGTGAGCTTCAGCTTCAAGCTTTGTGCTCCACTAATCCCCTGAGGGATTTATCCCTGGTGTCCACCTGTTGCATGGACTCCACTGACTTGGCACCAACACCCTTTGACACCCCTTTCCAGAGTGTGGTCCAGAATAGTACATTCACAGGGTTTTTGTGGGGTCAGTTTATAACAGATTCAATTTACAATAGCTTGTAAGATGGGGGAGGAAATGCCACACATTCTCTGCCTGTCTCTGCTGGACTGGCAGCCCATGTCTGGCTCTCCTCAGGTCCAGTAATCAAGGTAACCAGACTTGGAGCCACCTGTGAGATAACCAGACGTGGGCCTTGATTCATGGGAATTGGGACCTATTGGTGCCAAAGGTCACGTAGGTTGTTTGGCCTGCAAGCTCTCACAGTTTCTTAGCAAAGCAGAAGTTACAAAAGTGAAAAGTATTGCAGTTAGCAATGAGCCATGTTTACTCCATTTTGTTTTCAACTCTACACACCTACAGGTGCATCTGCCAATCCCTGACCTGGCATTCCCTGTACCCACCTGGAGGCAGTAGAGATACCTGGTCCCTTTGTTCTTGCTCTTCTCATTTTCTTTGTCTCTGCTCCCTCTTTCTCCCTGCCCCACAGCTGCCTTCCCTGCAGGAATAGAGGCCTCTTATGTGGTTCATTTACTGTGTCTGGCATCTTGGGTCTGTGGAAAAAAGCTAACACCAAGTGGGGGAGATAAAACCAAAATGACTCTTCTGCCTTTGTGCTAAAGCCTGGCCTGACTTGGAGTGGCCAGAATTCGGCACTCCTGGCTTCCAGATTCTCTGTGATCATGATAACTTCACACAGAGAGCTGGCAAATGGTTAGAGGTCTCTACCCTTCTCTGCTCTTCCTTTCCTTCTTTCTTCCTCCTTCCTCTGCTCAACCTGCCCTGCCTCCACCTCTGACTTCTTCCTTCACCCTCCAGTAGTAAGAGCTGCGTAGATACCTAGAGACACACCTCTATAGGCGCCTGCTCCTTTTCTAGTAAGCAGGTGTTTTTGGTTTTGGTTTTTGAGGGAGCTTCACAGTCATTTGTCCCATCGCCCTCTACAGGAATTGCTCCCTCAGCACTACTCGTGGAGACCCAAAGACGGGCAACTCTCTTCCTTTTCTGTCCTTTAACATTGTCCAGTCAAAAGACAGTCTTCTGGCCATTTGTACTCCTGCAGGCCTGGGGGTGCAGGATTGCAGGGGGCCTGAGGGATGGTGCCAGCGGGCATACAGGGACCTGTGGATTCACCTCCACACTTGCAGAGAGAGCTGGGGGATTTCCCCATGTGTTTGGCCTTGACGAGGGGGAGAAGGAGAAGAGGGGAGAGCCCTAGGAGAGCATGCTGGCATGGTGTGCTTGTGGACTGGGCTTGGGAAACTTGGAATGGGCCTGGATTTTGGGTGTGTGGAGGGGGAAGGTCCCAGACTAGCACAAACGTCAGGAGCTTGGGATCCTAGTGGGTGGGCAGAGCTCCAGGCCAGCACACCACTGCATTGGAAGACTGGGTTTTGGAAGGCTGGGCTGGGGAACCCATGTGCTCCTGGGCACAGGTACTATGGATTAATCAGAAAAAAGGGCAAGGGGATGTGTGGGAGGGAGGACAAAGGGAGAATGTTGCAGCTAAGGAATGACTTCTGAGGAACTTCCATGAACAAACACCACTGTATTTGCAGGTAAGCAATGGTGGGAAGCTGATGGATCTTTATAAGTCAACCCAATGCACCAGCCCATGTGGGAGACCTGAGCTAGGCTAGTTAGCATGGATCACCGTCAACCACCACTCACCGGCACACACTGGCTGGGGGCCTACCTGACAGGGCTAGATCACAGTACCCACCAGTGAGTGTCAGAACAGGGTTAATGTTAGGCTGGGCCATGACACTAACCAGCAAACAAGAGAACCAGGTCTGGGGGAAGATTCTGTGAGGGATATATGGACCCACTCCTGTGGAACTGCAATTTCCACTGGTTTGCTTAAGAGCTGGGAGTAGTGATGGGCTGAACTAGGCATGACCATGGAACCCTCTGACACTTATGGGTACTGGGGTTGGGAACAGGCTGGATTGGTCCAGGCTGTAGCACCCACAGGTGCACCCAAGAATAGGATGTGGGGTGGGCCAGATGGCAACATCCACCAGCTCATACAAAGGCCAGAATGGAGGGGGCAGATCATGTCTGTTAAGGACCTAGCACCCACTAGCACATGTGAAATCTGGGTCTGGGAGTGGGTCTGGTGGGGAAACTTGGGAAACTCCTCTAGTGGCCCATAGCTCCCGTTGTTGACCCTTTGATTCAGGCCTAGGTGTCAGTCAGGCTGGTCAAGGTAGCTCTACCAATTGGCAAATGTGTGGGTTGAATCTGGAGGGGGGTGGAATAGACAGGGTTGGGCCAAACTAGCTCTCTGGAATGTGCAGGAGCCAGGCTGGAATGCAGGCCATGCTGGGCCAGGCTATCACAGCTGCCACCAGCAAGAGTTGGAACAGGGTGCAGGTCAGGACAGGCCACGCTGCAGCATTTAATGGCAAAGGTCAAGATGGGGGATGGGCTATGCTAAACTGGGTAAGAACAACCGCCGGGACACGCAGGATCTGTAGCTGGGAATAGTCATGGTTGAGGAACTAAGGGGACTTTCCAGCTGGGTTGTGGTTCTCACTGGTGAGCATGAGACCTGGAATGAGGGCAGTTATCTGGGCTGCACATGACTGCAGTGTCCCTCGGCATGGGGATGGACTCGGCCTGGGGTGTGCCAGACTGGGATAGACTCCAGCACTCACTGGAGCTTGTGAGAGCCAGGGTGGGTACAGGATAGGCTGAACTAGGTCTCAGCACCCACTGAACCATGACCAGGTGTGGCTGGACTGTAGCACCAAACAGTAAGAATAAGAATAGATGTGGGCTGGATGGGCAAGGCCACTGTTCCTGCTATGATAGGAGGTAGCCCAAATCAAGCTGGGCCAAGGACCATGTGTGCAGGAGATCTGCCACTGAGAGGAGACCTGAAAGAGGAGCTTGGGGAACTCCCTTGTTAGGACACAGTCGCTGCAGGTGACCGCAAGAACTAAGGTTTGGAGCAGCCCAGACCAGGCCAGGTTTCAGTGCCAATCAGCATGCATGGGGGTCAGGTCTGGGGACAGGCCAGCCTGGACCAGATCATAACGCCCACTAGCAGACCTGAGAACCAGGACTGGGTACAGGCCAAGCCAGGATGTGCTGCAACACCTGCCAATTCACATTAGGGCTGGGACTGGGGGTTAGCTGGGATAGGCTATGAGGGAGCACCCACCAGCAAGAGCCGCAACTGGAGGAAGCCTGGGCCTGGCCAGGCTACAACACTCACTGGCAAATGTCGAGGTGAAGCAGGCCTTGCCAGTCTGAGCCAGCACATTTGAGATTCCAGGTAGGGTGGGGGAAAGGTGGGTACAAGCATGAGAACTAGGATCAGGAGCCCACCAGGCCAGGTGGGGTTACAACACCTATTGGCATGCATGTGAACTGGATTACAGGGAGAGCCAGGCTGGGCTAACCAACTGTATCCACTGGTACATACATGAGCCAGAGTAAGTGCAGGCTGGTGGGATTTTGTCACAGTGTCAACTGGCAAGTGCTGGAACTTGGGGCAAGTCCTATCATGTTAGTCTACAGAACCGTCTGGAAAATGCAAGATCAGGGTAGGGAGTGGGCCCAGTAGAGAAACTGTAGGCACCTCTCTGATGGGATGTAATTCCTAATGGTGAGCATGAAAACCAGGGCTGGGGGCAGGTATGACTAGACAGGTAGTGGCATCTACTAGAATAAGTGTGGACTGGATGGTGGGTTGGTTGGTTTAAGCTATGCTTCAGTGCCCACTGATGTATACAAGAGCTGAATGTAATGTGGGCCAGACTGGGCCAGTCTGCTGCAGATACTGTCAAGCACAGGAACCAGGGCTGGGGACGGGCCTAGTGAGGGTTACTGGGGATCCCTCCAACCAGGATGCAGTTCCCGCAGGTGTAGGTAAAGGCCAAGTGTGTGGTGGGCAGGATCAGGTTGGGCTGGGCCACAACATCCATTGGTTTACATAAGAGATGGGGCTGGAGAGAGAACTGACTTAGCAATTGCAACTATCAATGTGTGTGTAGGCTGATATGGGTGACAGACTGAGCTGGACCCCATACTGGCAAGCACACACAAGAGTCAGGTCTGGGATCACATCAGAAAAGATTTCTTTGAGGGTCCCCTTCAACTGAGCCACTGGACTCAGGGGAGAGCGGCAGGACCCATGATCTTACATTGGAGGGCATGTGTCTCTGTTCCTGAAGATAGTGCAGTGGACAACATACCCAGTGCACATGGAAGATTTGGCAGTCTACTGGAGCCTGCGGAGGACATCTGGTACCATAGCAGAGAAAGGAGGGCAGAACAAATGGTTCAATTACCCCAGAGAAGTTTGAAACCAAGTTTCTGGGTGAATGGAGTCTCTGGGATAGACGGTCAGCCATTGAATCTAGGAAGGATTTCCTTACCCTTACATCTGTGAGATTGACAGCATGTCAGAACTATTGAAACCTCTTGAACAGAACCCTCAAGGCATGCTCCCGTGCGGGTACAGGGTCCCCAAGGCTTTGGCCCATCCTCAACTGCTTTCCCAGGCCACAAGAAGGGAGCTGGGTGGGAAGCAATGCCCATATGGGATCCTGGTTCATTCGAGGTGAGAGCTTTAGCCACTAGGCTACCACATCGGGCCCAGCCCACCTATCTTATTTCCAATCAACATGTATGCTGATAGGTGCCACCACCTTGTCCAGCCTGATCTGCCTGCAGCCCCGGCTCTCGTGCAGGAGCTGCAGCCCAACAGAGGAGTGCCCATAGTTTTCTTACTAGGACCTCTCCCAGTCCCAGATCTTGTGCTTTACAGGGGGTACTATAGTCCAGTCTGACACTACTTGCACACTGTCCCAGTCCTTCCCCAATGGACGCTGCCACAAAGCCTGGCCAGTTGACACTCATCCTGGCTCTTGTATATGCCAGTGGATGTGGTGACTGGTGTAGCCCGGCCCTCCACCAAACCAAGTTCATATGTAGACCAACCATCATTCCATCCCAGCCCAACCCTGTCCTCCCCCAGGCCCAGCTTTCACACTCACCAGTGAAAGCAGTGACCCAACAGGGAAGCCCCCACAGCCCTCCCACCAGGATTGCTCCCGATCTGGGGACTTGTGTGTGGCGCTGGGTGCTGCAGCCAAGTCTGGCATGACCCATCTTGCCTTGGCATTTGCCAGCAGGTGCTGTATTCTATGGCTCGTCCTGGTCTGCCCCTAACCTCAATTCATACTAAGGGATGCTATACCCCATCCCAGCCAGCCCCCAGTCCCAGCCCCAATGTGAACTGGTAGGTGCTGGGTTCCAACCCAGCCTGCTCTGCATCCCTCCTGACTTTTGCACTTCTCGGTGGGTGTTGCACACTGGCCTAGCCTGGCCCGTTCCCAGAACTGACCCACATGTATGCAGACCCTGCTTAACTTTGTCCCCAACCTTGGTTCTCACACCCACCAACTGGGGCTGTGTCTTAATAGTGAAGTTCCCCAAGTCCCCCTATCAGACCATCTCCTAGTCATTTAGAGCTCAAGCACATCAGTGGATGTTTGGCTCAGCGTGACTTGACTCGCTTGCAGACCCAACATTCACTGGCAGGTACTGAAGCCTTGCCAGGCCAGCCTATACCTGTTCCACCTCTCTCCTGTGTGTACTACAGACCAGCCTTGCCAGGCCTACCCTCAGACCCAGCTCTCATGTCAACCAGTGGGTACTGTGACCCAGCCCAGCCTGTCCCAAACCTACTCTGGCTCTTGCAAGTGCCAGTAGGTGCTGCAACCTAGCGCAGTCTAGCACACTCCCACACCCAACCCACACACAAGCCGAGGGATATTACATCCATGTTCAGCCCAGTCCATCCTTATTCCCAGTCCTGGCACTTAACAGCATGAACTGCAGCCCAGCAGGAGTCTCTTCTTAGTTCCCCTACAAGGCCTGCTCTCAGCCATTGATCTTGCACATGCCGGTGGTTGCTCCAACCCAGCCTGGTATGGCAGAAAAGATTTAGAAAGTCTTGCCTGGAGGAAAAAAAAAAGTCTTGCTTGATTGTCTTCTGGCTTTTATTGTTGCTGTGTAGAAAATCCATGCCATTCTAAGGCTTAGTCCTTTTCATGCAAGCTTCCCTCCCCCTCCACCCCTACTTTTTTTTTCTTTCTTTTTAAATTTCTTCACCTTAACTTCCGCCATTCTGTTGCTTCATGATGACGTGTCTGTGGTGAGGACCTTTGCCCCATGTCAAAAAGGCTGGGACTTTCAATATGAGGATATGATTTTTTTAAAATCTGGGAGATAATCTTATCTGTTTCCCTTCATTTTCTCCTCCTGCCCTGAAAACTCTAATAGGTTAAGGGCCTATCTTCCATCACATTCTCTTTTCTTGTTGAATCCTTCCGATTTTCACTCCAGATTTTCTGCCCATTTCTACTCTAGCTTGAAGTTTTAAAAACATGAATTTTAAGAGCTTTCCATTCATTTTACCTCACAAGTGCAATGTCTTCTCCTCCGAGAAATCAGTGGTAACTTGCAAAAAACCATATGTACATATATATATGTATATGCATTGTTTTCATTTAAACCCGTTTCCTGCACTGTTCCTGTTTTCTCTTAGATTATCTCCACACCGCCTGTGTGCTGTTGTCCTGGATTTTATGGTGGAAATATTGTCACAAGCATCCGGCTCTCCCACGGTGCTCACGTTTACAATAGGGAAATAAGGGTCTGATTGCCCAAATTTCTGCGAGCCTCGTAGACCAGACGATCTTGGCAAATCTGCAGATAGGATCTTCCTTTAGCGAACCTTCAAGCGTCAGAGTTCTTCGAATGTTCTTTATCATTGGCGTCAATTTCCAACGACAAACGTTTTCAGCCTCCTGCCCCGTGCAGGCATGCGGAAGGAGACACGCCTGTTGTCTGGGTTCTGGGAGTCCGGAGGCCGAGGGGACCCGGGGATGGAGGCGAGCTGCCCACGTTCCCTCTCGGCCCCCTCTGGATTCTCACCCCCTTGCGCCTCGCCGACGGATAATCGGGCCAGCGCCTTCCATCCCTCACAGGGGCAGCCAGCCAGCCTTCCATCCCTCACAGGGGCAGCCAGCCAGCCTTCCATCCCTCACAGGGGCAGCCAGCCAGCCTTCCATCCCTCACAGGGGCAGCCAGCCAGCCTTCCATCCCTCACAGGGGCAGCCAGCCAGCCTTCCTGCTCAAGGCTCCTGACCCCCACTCTCCCTTGGGGGTCTACATGAACCGCCCCAGTGGTCTGCACGTGTTCGCTCACTCCCCTGTGGAGGTCCGTCCCTAGGAAATGGCTTGCAGGCCCCGTCTCGGGCGCAGAGCCACTGTCAGATGTCCTTTCGCTTCGCCGACAGCAGGGACTCGGTCCTGCTCACTCGGAGCCGGTGCGGAGCTGTGCGGGTCCTCGCCCTCCAGCTGGAAGGGAAGAGGGCAAAGTCCTGACTGACAGCCGGAGGAGGAAAGTTTTCAGTTTTCAGGTGCTAGTTGCACGGAGGAAGCTCCGTTTCCACACAGGCGCCGCTGTGTACACTTCTTAGGCTGCAGGAACGGGCGGGCGGGCGGCTCGCCGAGGATGGTGCAACACAAGATCTGCCTTCCAGCCTCCCTCGCCACCGGGTGTCAGGATGGCCGAGTGGTCTAAGGCGCCAGACTCAAGCTCTGCTTCCTCTCGTTGAGGATTCTGGTCTCCGAATGGAGGCGTGGGTTCGAATCCCACTTCTGACACATACGTTTTTGCCTTCTGCTTTTCTTTTAAAAACGTTTTTAAATTTTATTTTTAATATCGATTGCATAGTTCAGAGGGATGCATACCCACGTCAGCTTCTGATTAAGGTGGAGAGAGTCGAGGTGTGGAGGGAAGTGAGTGAGGTAAATGTTTCAGTTCCTTCACAACCCTTCTGTCCTCACACACGGGGAAAAGGGAGGCCCGCTTTTTGCTGTCGAACTACATCAATGATCGGGGATGGTATCTTATCCTTTCCAATGCCAACTAAAACAACACAAACACGTCTTTTCCGGGGCTCTAGATGGTTCATTAGAGTCGGAAACTAAACTTGTCGCGAGAGAACGAGGGCCGAGCACGCGGGGAAACGGTGAATCGCAGACTGCTCGGGGGGAACGGGTCATCCGCAGCATTAGCTAACATTTATTTCCACTTATTCTTACCTCGCTGTCAGAGAAGAAAAAATGCAGACTGTCCATGTCAGTGGCCAAAAGTGAGGAGGACCTCGGAAGGTTCCACCGAGATTTGAACTCGGATCGCTGGATTCAGAGTCCAGAGTGCTAACCATTACACCATGGAACCCTCCCTGCGAGGGCCGTCTACACCGTGCCCCTCACGGCTCCCGCCGAGCCCCGTGACCCGGGATGCATCAGAACCGGAAGCCCGGCTTGCAAGACCCGGCCGGTCGGGAGGGGTGCTGTCGCTGTTACCATTACTGCCATTCTTGTTCCGGGTAGAAATCTGCACGTTTCCTCAGCGGGGTGACAGAAATGCCCAGCGCAGGGGCGGGCGGAGGCCTGGGCAGGGTCGCCACAGCCTGCTTCCCGGGTTTCCTTCCCTCCATCTTACGGGCAGGGCAGAATCCCGGTCCGTGAATATTGTTACACCTGGAGATGTTGGCTTGCTTTTCTTTTCCAGCTGACGACTTGGTACGTGGGATTTTAGTCGCACCATTCGAAAGGGCCAGAATTTAAAAACACACACCATCTTCCTTCTGCCACTTGGGTTACTCATCCTGGGATACCCGCAAGGGCCTACAAAACCACCTGTGAGTGTCCGGGCACTTCCCTCAGCTCTGATTATGGGCTTGAACTTGAAATATCCATGCCTTTCCCTGCAGAATGTCCCAAGTGCCGGGTCTAGGGGCGCTCAGCGGTAGTCCGGGGGCTTCTGCTTACAGAAGCTTAGTGGAATGAGCTCAGTTGAGGGGGTCTTTGGGAGAAGGCATCATTTTAGACGTTTTGTAAGGTTTTTGAGTCTAATGACAACCTCTACCCTATTAACAGGTCTCTTCTCCCGGTGGATGATAAAGGAAGAGCATCATTTGTTTTCTCCAAATCTTAACAAAATTAAGAGGGGTTGTTTACTCACCTAGTAAAAGAGCAACAGGTAGTGAATAGACTCCACAGGACTGTGGCACAGCTAGAGGAAATACTCAGGCATGCACGACTTCTGTTACCATGCAAATATTAATTAGCCACCAAGTATGTCCCATGTGCCTCTGGGAGTCTCCAGAAGGCTACGTTTTTGAGGGAGGAACCCTCAAATCTTTTTCTGGCGTTTGTCCTTGTATCGTGTCATCACAAATTGGCTGTTCATAAATTTGCACTTATCTGCATTTATCTTTTTGGGAATTGAGGAAGAAACCAGTGAAATTCAAAGACTTCCAGCTACTTGACTATCAATTGCTCCTCAGAGTCCACACCTCCCACCATAAACTCTCTGTTTCCCTTTTGGACTTAAAGATGGTTTAAGTTCCAGCTGAAGGAGGCACTTTATTTTTCATCGTAGCACAGGTGGCGTCTTTTGCTTCTATGAACTGTCATCTTGATTATTTTTTTTCTATTATTATTTATTTCCTTTTAAAAATTGTTTACATAGTTAATAGGAATGTATGTCCCTGTGGGCCTCTGACTAGGATGGGGAGGGTCAGGTATGATGGAAGGAGGGTGAGAGCAATGTTTCAGTCTTTGTTTTTCTTATAACTGCAGGGAGGAGAGAAGATCTCCCACAGTGGGGGATAGAGAATGATCATTTGATGACCTTAGAAACCCTGTTGTGAGGAAGAGTGTCCCAAGGAAGTTACTTGAGTGGTTTTAGTAGTTCTGAAAAGATTGTTGGTTTCGTTGCTCCAGGGTTGAGAAGATCTTTCCAAGGTCTATTGGTTGACAAAGTCCACCTTAGGGCAGCCACAGACCCAGAAACGTGCGGCAAGCATGGCCAGAATTATCCAACCTGTTCTGCTTCCCATCCTGTTATGAGGCACTCAATGTCCCCTGCTAGCCTGGATGAGCTGGCTGTCATATTCTCCCATGTGCATCTGGACATGCTGTCCACTGCATAGGCATCAGCAACTGAGGAGGCCCAGTCCTGATGCATGCATTCCAAGGTTGGACCACACACTCTATGATACTTCCTGTG